AGATGTCTGGCATGAGCAGTGGGGAGCTGCATGAGCTCCCAGCCATGCCCAGACCTGGCTGGAGCCTCCTCCAGCACCAGCCACGCACTCCTGCCCCGGGGCCTCCATCTCCCCCGCCTCAGCCACAAATTCAGACTGACATTGTCATTTCTGTGCATTTCAGTCTGCAGCAGCCCCTGAGACAGCGGAGCAGAAACGCCGTGCAAGGAGACACCGCCTGCTCTTATACAAATTGACAGTTATTAACACACTGGAAATCTCTCCTTCATTGCCGAGCCAATCCTGCTCTCCACCGAGAGAGAGAAACCCACAAGATTTACAGCACAGTAAACGGAATTAAAGCTTTTGAGTCAATGCCTCCGTGCCTTCCCAGGAACGCCTTTGCTCAATGGGAGTCTCCTTGACTGCCTGAATTTCCCCACACTCCACTTCAAACAAGGATGTCTGGGGTCACCCTGCACAGCAGACTCGCCAATTAGCATTCTGAGGCTGAGCTCATTAGTGGCCCTGTGAAGGAAGTCCTTTCCAGAGGGCCTGAGCACACACACAGGGCTGCCAGCTCCAGCCGCTCCTCACCCCGCTGTGCATCCTTTCTGAAAGGGAGGAAAAACCCCAAACCCACCTCTGCTGACAGTGGGGTACGCCAGGAACACAGAACAATTTGCTGCTGTTCAATTGATCGTGTGCAAAGTCATTCAAAGGAAAGGAATTATCTACAAAACTGAGAGGCTCACAGGGACAGATCCTGCTCTGGGGGTGAAGGAGGTTCCCCATCCCACCATACCTGCTATCCGTGGTTAAATAAAACCATCAAGCTCTGAACTCCTGAAACTGGTATTTCTGATTGCTGCCTACAGTAGGAAATACATTATGTGTTCGTAATTAGAAATATTAAGGGCCATTTCTAACGAGAATTGATATTGCTGTAAGAAATGCAGGGGTTAGGGGAGGGTCTGAAAACAGGTGGGTCCACCATGAACCCAAAACTGGCTTGCTGCTGGTGGCCACGGCTGGCATTTTGGGGAAGAGGCACAACCCCCACTTCAAACAAGGATGTCTGGGGTCACCCTGCACAGCAGACTCGCCAATTAGCATTCTGAGGCTGAGCTCATTAGTGGCCCTGTGAAGGAAGTCCTTTCCAGAGGGCCTGAGCACACACACAGGGCTGCCAGCTCCAGCCGCTCCTCACCCCGCTGTGCATCCTTTCTGAAAGGGAGGAAAAACCCCAAACCCACCTCTGCTGACAGTGGGGTACGCCAGGAACACAGAACAATTTGCTGCTGTTCAATTGATCGTGTGCAAAGTCATTCAAAGGAAAGGAATTATCTACAAAACTGAGAGGCTCACAGGGACAGATCCTGCTCTGGGGGTGAAGGAGGTTCCCCTGGGGAAATATCCCCATCCCACCACACCTGCTATCCGTGGTTAAATAAAACCATCAAGCTCTGAACTCCTGAAACTGGTATTTCTGATTGCTGCCTACAGTAGGAAATACATTATGTGTTCGTAATTAGAAATATTAAGGGCCATTTCTAACGAGAATTGATATTGCTGTAAGAAATGCAGGGGTTAGGGGAGGGTCTGAAAACAGGTGGGTCCACCATGAACCCAAAACTGGCTTGCTGCTGGTGGCCACGGCTGGCATTTTGGGGAAGAGGCACAACCCCACCACCCCAGGGCACGTTCAGCTCTGCAGACACCAGCTAAACACAGCAGGCTGCTTTCAGAATCTGAATACAGACTGGCCTGGGTAGCAAGGGACTGCAGAGATCATGTAGCTCCACCCTCTGCCGTGGTGTTTTCTCTATCCTTCTATCACTGGAAAATTGAAAGCAATAATTTAATATTATTTGTTCCAGCAAGTTCCACATGTTGTTTCCTTTGAATGAACAGATATCAAAAGGAGCTATAATAAATGCTGGGGATTTTAATTAAATTAAGATAATCAGGGCAAAAAATATGGACATTAAACCCTTTTCTATAAATGTAAGAGTTAATTTCTAATAAAAATTTCTCTTAGGTAACTGACAGCTTATTTATTTGGACACAGGCAAGTGCTACCCACCACTGCGAGCCTCCAGTGTTCAAAGTTAATGAGACACTAAAAAATAACTGAAATACCACCCCAAACCTGCCTGGGACAATCAAATGGCCTGTAAAGCAGAATTCTCTCCTCCAGGACACACAGCTCCCAGTTTCCCCTGGCTGCAGCACCCTGCACTGGGGTGCCCATTGGTGGGGTCTCTGCTGTGGGCACCCCTGGGTGCCCACCACCCCCACTCTGGCCCACAGGAGAGCTTCTTCTCGTAGTGGAATTACAGTTTGATGCCTAATTAATACATACATTTGGCATGTAAATAACACTTCTATAAGGCTGCGCTCCCCATCATGTTCATCTGCCAAGTAACTCCTTATCAGCACAAATTTGAAAAAAAATGAGGGAAATTGTGAATTAAAATACTTTTCCGATTAGTATTTATCTCTAATATGCAAAATGAAAAGTATTTTAATTTCCTGCATTTAAAACATATTTTTTTAAAAGCAGCATGACTGCGTGCTACCCATACAAATCTGACAGTGCATTTAATTACCTCCCAATAATTTTGCATTAAGAGTGACCACTGATCTAAAACATAAACCCAGTATTTGTTACTATATCACACTGAAATGTAACTAAATTATTAGCAATAATTAAATAATGTTTACATAAAGGTAATTTCAATACCAAATTCAGTACTTCCTCTGTTACCACCTGAAGTATTTTAACCCAAGTGAGAGAGACCAGCAGGGGAGGGAGCTCCACAGAATCCCAGGATAAAGGGGTTTCCAGCTGGTCAGCCCATCTTACCTGCCCAGAGCTCTGATCCCTTCCTGCCCATGCTCCCAGGGAATGGGCACCATGGGACCCTGGCTGCCAGCAGGACCTCGCTCCTGGCCTTGATCCTGGCTTTGTTCCTCATCCCTGGCCTTGGTCCTGGCTTTGTCCTTCATCCCTGGCCTTGGTCCTGGCCTTGGTCCTTCATCCCTGGCCTGGGTCCTGGCTTTGTCCTTCATCCCTGGCCTTGGTCCTCATCCCTGCCCTTGGTCCTGGCTTTGTCCTTCATCCCCGGCCTTGGTCCTGGCTTTGTCCTTCATCCCTGGCCTTGGTCCTCATCCCTGGCCTTGGTCCTGGCTTTGTTCCTCATCCCTGGCCTTGCCCTACAGCCCTGCATTTCTGTGCTTGGCTGTGGATCCAGCGTGGTCAGTCACACTCTGGAATTTCTTCTGGATTTTCCCCTCTTCACCTGTTTTTCTGGAGAATTCTTTTTCCGTCCTGGTTCCTGTGCCAGCCTCCCGGGCTCGGGCTCTGGGGGACTTGTGCTCCCTTTCCCCAAGGTGAGGACATCTTCCAGGTGACAACATCTTCTGTTCCCTCTCCCAGCCCAGTGCATGTGGATCAGGGATAATCTGGTTTAGTTCACTCTTTTCCAGGTTGAACTTTTTGCTGGGACAGTGTTAAGCCTTTTGTCATTGTTCAGGGACAGCCAATTATAAATTATTGCATAATTTTTCTCGTCATGGTTTACTGACAAGTCAAAAAAACAAAAAAAAGATTACAGCTTGGTTTCCTGAACGTAGCTTTACGGTTTTTCCTAAAACTGGGCTTGTAGAATATTCAACAAAGCATGGGACATGCCCTGCGCAACGGAGAAATACCTTGGAACAAACCACTTCATTTTCACTCACATCCACCTTTTCAGGAGCCACTCCTCTGGAACGCTTCCTAAAACCTTCTTTCAGGACAGATTTTTGAAGAACTGTGGAACCAACATGAACGTGTGGCATACAAACAGGACACGGGCACTTCTACACAGAAGCAATTTGCCACCTGCTTAGCAGGGAAGCGGAATAAATTCAGTGTATCTGAATCAGTGATGGGCTGCTGTCAGAGCCCGGGCCTGCCCAGCAGGGCTGGCACTCAGAGCAGCCTGGGGCTGCAGGAGAGGCAGGAGCAGAGTTTTTGGCTTTCTTTGTAGGCTCAGTTCTGTCCTCTCCAAAGGCTCCTGGGGCGTTTCGGGGGTGCAGGGACTCCCCCACAGCCCGGCTCAGCCTCGCTGGAAGTCCCACAGACTGCACCTCCCGTGGCCAGCAGCAGAGAACGAGGCAGGTCTGGGGGTGCAAGGGGCAAAGTCTCTGTGTGGGTCTCGGGAAGCAGGGCTGTCCCTCTGGGAAGAACAGCAGGAGCAGCTGCAGTGGCCTCAGGGCGCTGGAACAGGAGAGGAAAACAGGAATCAAAGAAAAGCCCATCTGGGCAAAAATAACATTCACAAAACTTCTGTGAGGTCCTGTTTATAACTCTCTGCTGAATTGCACAAGTGATAAAACAGGATCTGTTATATATTCCATTTCTGTTGTTAGTGGGGAGTGTTTCCCTCCATGCCATCCCTGCTGTGGTCATTTCTGGCAGCACACAAATAGGACAATTTATCCCCTATTTACACGGGAAAAAGGGGATTCAGGGGGTCCCTGGGGCCTGGAGGAACACACCCCAATAAATGCCACGTTGCCCCAAACCCACCTGGCTCTGTCCTGGGACAGGACAGGCTCTCTGGCTGGGCAGGAGAGGGGCTGAGGGTTTCCATGGGCTTCCAGCACAGATCAGCTGGAGCTGCCCCTGCTGCAGTCAGAGGAGTCACCCCAGACTGAGGGTTCTCCCTGGCTTGCCAGAGGTTTCCTTGCTTTTAAGCCTGCTTAATTTTTCCTTATCCTTCCCTCTAAAGAAGGAAGTTCTGTTTGACAAGTTTTTGCCTGCTGGTGTCCAGGTTTCACGTTTTTTTTTTTTAAAGGATTTGAAGATTTCCATTCTTGGGCCCTCTGGCATGCCCAAGAGACCCTTCAATCCTGCTGACACAGCAAAAGGAAGGCACTTTTCTCTATGGGAAAATAGAGATGCTCCAGGAGGAGAAGAGGAGAGAGCAGAGGAGACCCGAGGGCTTACCTTGTGCATGTGGCCTGAAGGACTATGACCAAAGAATGAAAGCTAAAGAGAAAAATAAAAACAAAAATAAAAACTGAAAAGGGGAGAGAAGAGAGGAAAAAATGGAAGAGAAGAAAGAGATTAAGAGTTTACAGTGTGTTTAACTGAGAAATAAGCTGTGGTTACAGACAGAGCACAACAAAACTCTCAGGTGAGAAGAAATATGGAGTGTGAAGTAAAGTCCAAGTGCTCGGGGCTGAGCTTGGCTCACAAGAGCTCCCGTGTCCCTTGGGCTGGTGACAGTGGCCCCTGCCCCTCTGAGCCCAGCCAGCCCCAGCCACGGCTCGGGGGCGATGGGGAACATCAGCTGAGCTCTTCTGACCCCCCACAGCACCCCGAGCCCGGCCCTGCTGAGCCTGGGCTCAGTCTCAGCTGCTGGCCCAGCTGTACCTGAGCACGGCCATGCCACGGACAGGGCAGGGCTCGGCTGAGGCCGTTCTGGGGTAAAACACAGCAGTTTGGGCTGCCTGCAGAACACTCTGTGACATGAACTGTGGCTGCAGGCGAGGGAGGAGAGCGAAGCCCCGTTCCTGCTGGGAAAGGCTGCTCCATGCACTGCACGGCCAGGGGCTGGCACGGGATGGGAGGGAACAGGGAGCAACACCCCTTCCCCTGAGCTCTGCTGCTCAGCCCTCGCTCTAGCCCTTCCAGGGCATGGCCCCGTGTCCCTGCCCAGTTCAGGCTGCCCTGAAGGGTAGCAGGGAGGAAGGACTCAATTCAACCAGTTCATCTCCCCTCCTCAGAGGGGCTGGTGCAAATGCAAGTTGTTTTCCTGGAGCTGTCCCCCTTCCTCACTGCACTACACACACGAGCTCTCTCTAAGGTGGTTTCCTTGGCCCAGGTGAAATGGAGAATGGTCATGTGCACACACAGCAGCTGTTCATCTGCATGACCTTACCTTTTCCTCTAACTCTTTTATTTGTCTTTTTTGGCCTTCAATTCTTTCTTCTAGCTCTTTAATTCTCTGTCAGATTTCAAATAAAAAAATATTTATTAACCAACCAAATACAGATGTACCCGGAAGATGCATTAGTTTGGGGGATACAGATTGGATGTGCTGTGCTTCTACCAAAACCAAATTGGGCGTTAGGCTGTGGGTGAGTGCTCTGTGATTGTCACCGTGTGTGACAAAGGCAGGAACAGCACGCTGCCCTGTGCGCGGGGGCATCCAAGGCCAAGCAACGCCTGTGCCAGGCCTGGCCAGCTCGGGACAGCTCCAGGGGAGGCCGGTGCTCCCAGGGCCATCCCTCCCTCCTGCCCGGCCCCGGGCTGCCCCACACCCACCTGCTGGGCGTGCTGGATGAGCTCCATCCTTTCCCGCAGGATTTGGGCGTCCCTCTCCCGGAGCTCGCTCATCACCTGCCGCTTCCACTGCTCCACGGCGCTCTTCAGCTTCTCCTTCTCCTCTTCTGAAAGAAGTTCGGAAATTTTGGCTCCAGCTTCTTGCTGCAGGGCATCATAGAGCATGGCTTCTAATTCCAGAATTTGCTAATCAAAAACAATATAAAGCTGTCAGCTGGACCTTGTCCCTGGTTGGGTGAGGAGTTTGTGAGGAGCGGAGCATCCGACCCTGAAAGGCAACGGGAGCGGAGCAGGGGCTGCGTGCTGAGCCTGCCGCGAGGACAGCACGGAAAACTCCATCCAGAGGGAAAACACCCCAGGCTGCCTCCATCCCACGGGGCTCCGAGCAGCTCTGGGGCTGGGACAGCCCCACAAACATGTGGGAGCCAGCTTCTCCTTGCTGGGCATGGGAGATGGCCGTGGGGAGAGGAGGAGAAGGAAAAAAGGAAAGAAGGGGGAAAGGGAGAAGGAAAAGGGAGAAGGGAAAATGTAAACAGGAAAAGGAAGAAGGAAAGAGGTTCATAAAAGACTAATTTTGTGCGTTACAGTTATTTTTTACATGTATTTTTTCAGCCCCTCGTTGCCCTTCCCCAGCTCTCCTGCTACCCAGCAGAGGACACAGCAGCACCAGTCCATGCTCCTGCCAGAAGGAACAACTCCCTGCCGTGTGTGTGCAGCATTGTGTACCAAGCAGGGGAAAATGCCACGTGGGAAGATATTCCCAGCACCTCCTCTGGGAGCTCCAAGAGGGTTTGTGCCCAAGGAAACGACCCTGTCCTGTAGCTGGGCTCTGCTCCTGCTGAGATCCTGTCCAGGCAGACAGATGGACCCTCTGCATCCACTGGGATGGAGAAGTGCAGGAGAAGGACTGGCCACCCTTCCCTGAGGTCTCAGAGCATCCCTGGCACCCTCCTGGTGCTGGCAGACAGGGTCCCCTGCCCTGGAATCCAGGATAAAGGCTGTGCCCCCAGGCAAGCCAACAGCGAGCTGAAATCTATTTCAAGACGTTTGATCCGGAGCAGGAGAAAAGGCAGCAGCTGGTGGCACCTCTGCACAGCCCCTCCAGAGCTGGTGGCACCTTGCAGAGCTCTCCAGGGCCTCAGGAGAACCCCACTGCAGCAGAATCACGGAATTGCTGAGGCTGGAAAAGTCCTCAAAGTCCCCCAGGGCAATGTCCCCCAGCACTGCCAAGGCAACCGAGTGCCACATCCACAGGGCCTTTCAGTCCCTGCTGGCTCTGTGGTGATCATTCAGCTCAGCCCAAATCCACGTTTTCCAGCTGAGCTGCTGCTGGGGTCTGACTGGGTCTCAGCAGAGCAGGGGAGCAGAATGCTCCCAGCAGAGCAGTGCCACCATGGCAGGGGCTGTGGCACTGCTGGTAACTGCTGATAACTGGTGACAGCTGGTGACAACTGGCTAATAACTGGTTAATAACTGGTGATACCTGCTGAAAACCAGGCATCTCCATGAAGAACACATCAGATCTCAGGAGAAGATTCTGCTTTCCCTTTTAAAACAACACCACCAGCTTGCTAAGCTCATCCCAGCGAATGCTGCTGTCTGACTCCTGGATTTCTGCTGGGCCCCAGCCTCACAGACACAACCCCAGCCCTGTCTGGAGACACTGACCTGGGCAGGAGAGGGGCAGGGGGACCCTCCTGGCCCCCAGAGCAGCAGCAGGGTCAGCCAGTGCTGCCTGGAGCAGGACCCTGCAGCAGCCAGGCCGAGGCTTTGCTGCTAATCCTGTTGGCTCTGCTTCAGGGGGATCATGATTAGCTGCTTCTCATCTCCAGGGGCACAAAGGAAACATGGAAGTGAAACAAATTTTATAAAGCAAAAGAGCTTTTTCCACTCGAATTCCCGGGCAGAACAAAGCTTCCTTTGCTGCTCTCAGGGTGCATTTGTGCCCTGGAACAAAGCTGTGCCTGGGACACGTGTGTGGTGCCTGCAGAAAATACAGGAAAAATGCAAATCACCCTCAGCCCCCTCTGCACGCTCCTTGCACTCACTGCTTCCCATCACAGATACATGCAGCCTTTGGCTGCACAAACTGCTGCTCAGGACAGGAGATGATGGAACCAGAGTCCCAGACTGGGCCCTTAAAGGCCACCTTGTTCCATCCCCTGCCATGGGCAGGGAAATTCCACTGCAAGGTGTTTTAGGGCTGGGGCCACAGCTGAGGGGGCTCGTGTGCTTTCCAAGGTTTGCACTGTGCCTTGGTTCCAGATACAGCTCAGAATGTGGCAAAATCAGTCCTGGAACTCACCCACAGGACAGAAGATGTATGGAGCAAAAGCTCCCCCAAATGGTTCAAGACACAAGTAGCCAACAGGAGGCAGAAACAGAGGCAGAAACACTCACTGCTCCTCAGAACGTGTAACTGTGCTCTAGGTTTATGTAGAACTGGGAAAATGAGATAAACTGAGAGGAAACTTTATGCCTTTTGTGGATATATGTATAACCTTTCTCTCATTGATAAAAACAAGACAGCTGATGACTGAAAAGATGGGTGAAATGCCTGAGGATCACTTAATGATGAGCCTGACTTAAAAGCAGTTTAATTTCAAATGTACACATCCCAGAATACTTCCAGCTGCTCTGGTTACAGAGGGTGTAATCCAAAATCCGAAGAAACGTGCAGGCTAAAATATATTTTTTTTAAATGTAAGACAAATTACTGAAAACCTAATTTCCTTATCCGTCCTTTACTGAAGCTTTGGCTGAATTAAAACTGGTGTTGAGTAAGTTAAGGTTGAGGTGCTGTCCCTGGGGGGGCACTCAGACCCCAGAGCTCTGCTCACGAGGCAGTCCTGGTGAGCTCAGGGTGCAGAGGGTGTGCTCTGACCCCATGCAGCCCCTGGGCACTGCACAGCAGCACTGCCCAGGGCAGGGTGTGCACAGGGCCAGAGCACAGGGCAGGGAGCTCCCCCAGGTGCCCTGGTCAGCCACCTCTGACAGCCCTCACCTTGTGAGCCTGGTCCAGGGACTGTTTCCTGAAGTCCAGCTCATCGTCCAGGTAGCCCTTCTGCTTGCTGAACAGCTCCTGGGGAGCAAGGAAGGGCTGTCAGTGCCCAGCAGGGCCCCAGCCCTGTCCCCTGCTGGCCCCTCCCCGGTACCTTCTCGTTCTCCAGGTCCAGCATCTTCTGCTGCAGCGCAGACTCGGTCACCTCGATCTGCTGGAGCCACTGCGGGGACAGAGCAGAGCCTGAGCCCTGCGAGCCCAGCAGGCAGGTACTGCTCAAAGAGCAGAGCACAATTCACCCAGTCACCGTGGTTTTCTCTGAAAAGCCACGTCTCAAAGCCTGGCCCTTCCCTTCTGCCGTGGCTTTGAGCTCAGTCTCATGAAGTGAAGCACTTCTGCTGCATTGCTGGTGGCTGCTGTGCTGGGACAAAGGCCAGTGCCATTCCTCCTGAAGCACCGTGGGCTTGTGTGGGGCTGGCAGCTCCCTCAGCAGCTCTGGCACGGCAGAGGGGCTGGTGCTCCCAAACACAAGGAGCAGGAGAGGTGCCCTGGCCTCACCCCTCAGCCTGTGCTCCCTCCTTACCTTCTCAGCCAGCGTGAGGACAGTCCTGGCCTGGATGATGACCACCTGCTCCTCGTTGGTCAGGTTCTGCACCAAAAGCAGAGCACAATTACAACAAATCCCTGTGTCTTGTTACTAACCCACTACTTGGGCCACCGCTGTTTCAAACATGTCTGGAATTAAATATGTCTGAGGAACAATAAACTGAGGCAGAGAAAATTAATATTGTAATGCCAAATCATTGTAAAAGGCATTGTCACTATTCAGTACCAATCCTTGCCATACATAATTCTTCCAAAATTCTCATATTTACTGTCAAGAAAAGAGACACTGAGTCTATTAGTACCCAACAGGGAATAAACACATTTACACAGGACAAGGTCAAGCTCAGCACAAAGGGCCATGGGGAGAAGAGGTGCAGTGCTCATCCCATGCACCATCCTCACTTTGTGCAGCCAGGTGATGATTTTGGGAAGCATTTGTTGAGATGTTGGCCATTCCATCCATCTCCTGTTGCTTTCTCAAAAAAAACCCAAAGCAATGGAAGTGGGTTTTGCATTTCATCCCAAGCTTCAGTGTGACCACAGGTACAGCAGAAGGGCCCGGGCCTGGCTTGTGTGGGACCCTGAGTCAGAGCCAGGGCAGGTGCTGAGCAGGGGGACTGTGGAGAGCTTCTGGGACATGGCAGTGCTACCCTGCAGGGATTGAGTCAGGGAATCCTGCCATGCTCTCCGTGGGAAGGGACCTTAAAACTCCTCCAGTGCCACCCCTGCCATGGCAGGGACACCTCCCACTGTCCCAGGCTGCTCCAGCCTGGCCTTGGGCACTGCCAGGGATCCAGGGGCAGCCCCAGCTGCTCTGGGCACCCTCAGGTATTTATAGTTCTGGTACTTCCAGGTTGTGCCATGGTTCTGGGGATGGTATTTGCTGGTGCCCAGCCTGTCCCCAGGGAGAGCTGGGGCAGCCCAGGTGCAGAGCTGTGAGAACAGTGGGGACCCTTCTGCAGCCCCAGTGCCGGGGTGGGGTCCCCAGGAGGGCTGAGGGCTCTGTGAGACCTCGGGCTGGAGAGGGGCTCTGCTCCCCTTGACCCTCACAGCGCTGGGGCTCTGCTGACAGAGCAGAGCACAGGAAAAGACCCCCAGGACATGTGTGCCTTCCATGTGCATAAGTGCAGTTGTTCACTGCCACCTGCTGAAGGAGAAGCACTTGCAAGTTTCTTGTTATTTGCTTCTCCTTTTCATGCTGCTCTTTTGGCTTCTTGTTTGAGACCCTGGTTAGTAGCAAGGGTTAATGGGTTATTAGGCACACTCAAAGCACACAGCTGCTGAAATGCAAAAGCAAAGCAAATCCAGAGCAAGCAAATCAGGAATCTGTGTGTGACCAGTGGCCAGAAAGCACCAAACACCAACATCACTCTGAGTAGCAGGGATCTCAGGAGCCATGTGGTGACACGAGCCCCTGCACTTCACTCTTCAGGTGGCAGAAAAACCTCGAAATGCCAGCAAATGCTTTGCTCTAGCCCAAACCAGAGGCAGGACAGGCTGTGCAGCACCAAAGCAGGCAGCTCTGCTCACTGCACACGAGGACAGGTGTTCCCCAAAGCATGCACAATTTATTAAAGGAACATACACTTACGGCGTTATCCCCTAAAATGTCCAACTTTTTCATCAGCTCTGCCACTACAATGTCCTGACAAGAGAGAAACGGAGAAGCAGGAGTCAGCACAGGGCGTCTGGTTTTGCTCAGGGAGAGGAGAGGAAAGGAGCATCCCTTACTGTTACACCTTCAGCCTCGCAGTACACCTGCAGAGGGCTCTTCCCCTCCGTGAAGGGGCCGTGGTGGAAGGTGATGGCCGGGGACCGCCTCTCTCTCTCCTGGAAGGACAACAACAATCCCTGGTTACCCCTGGGTGTGTCACACCCCAGCATCATGGAGCGCTCTGGCTTGGAAGGGACCTTAAAGCTCATCCCACCCACCCTCCTGCCACAATGCCTGTCAACCACACTGCGGGTGTTTGTGGTGTTTTTGGAGGAAAAAATTGTTCACCCAAAGAATAATAAAGTACTGGAATGCTCTTCCCAGAGAGGTGGTGGATTCACCATCTCTGGATGTGTTCAAAAAAAGGCTGGACATGGCACTTGTGCTGTAGTCTAGATTCTGAGTTGAGGTGTTAGGGCATGGGTTGGACTCGATGATCTCAGAGGTCTCTTCCAGCCTCATTATTCTGTGATTCTGTTTGTGGTTCTCCTCCTTCAGCAGCCTCTGCACGGAGCCCCTGGCCCTCCCTGCAGAGTGCCCCTCTGCAGTGCCCCCACCCCGCAGTGCCCAGCAGGCAGGCCTGCCCCACGGGCTCACCTCCAGCTCCAGGATCCTGAACTCCAGCAGCTCGTTCTGGTCCTTGGCGTCCTGCACGTCGTGCTTGAGGCGTGCCTCCTCGGCCTCCATCTGCCTGATCTGCCAGGGAACAGGGCACGGGGCCTGGGCCAGGGCACACCCAGGGCAGGGCACACACACCCAGCCGGGGCAGGGCACACACACACACCCTGGGCACACACACCCCGGGCAGGGCACACAGGGCACACACACACACCCAGGGCACACACACACACCCTGGGCAGGGCACACACACCCCGGGCAGGGCACACAGGGCTGGCCCCAGGACACTGTCCTTGTGCACAGCACACACACAGGGCCACGGGCAATGGCAGAGCCACGCTTCTCCAGCAGCTTTATGAGCATCTCGTACTGAACATGAGTGATTTCCAGCAGGGCAGTGCCACACAGATTGCCATACTGCCCCTTCTGCATCCCTCAAGCACAAATGTGACTTGAATAAAGCAAATAGAAACGCTGAGTACCTTTTCTACCAGCTCCTGATTCCTCCTGTACAGCGCCTGCTTCTCCTCAATCCACTTCATGTCCTGGGGAGGAATGAACAGCACTGCAGGTGAAGCTGCAGCATTTACCAGCACAGCAGCAGGTATCTCACTGAATCTCACGTGCACAGGGACAGAACAATGAGGGCTGGCAAACTGTAAGTCCATCACTTCCTAAAATAACTTCCTAAGCTAAACTTGCCCATATGATTTTAACAGCTCTGCAGTACACAAATGGAATAAAAACATTCCAGTGATTAAAAAACTCTTCCAGGTAAAATGTGGTTTGCATTAAAAGGGATATGCCCAACTATGTGTTTACTATCAAATTTCCATTTTGCTAAATGCAAATTACGTATTTCTGCAGATCAGGCAAACGAAACTATCTGGAAGCTAATCTCTTAGTCTGAGGAATATAAAACCCATAAACCCAGCAAGAACAACAAGAAGAGGGTAAGCTGGGAAGGCAATGCTGGAATTATTGACTATTTTATTGTTCTCAAAAACATTTTCTGTTTACTGCTGTTGTTGTTTTGGGTTTTGTTGGTTTTTTTGTTTGTTTTTTGGGGTTTTTTTTGGTTTTTTTTTTGTCAGCAGAAGTGATGCACAAGCTGTAACCAGCCTGGGAACCTTTCTGGTCCCCCAGCAGAGAGGTGGGGAAGGGCTGGAGTCAGCATTACCTGTCCCTGCTCAGCCAGAGCCTTCTCCAGGTCTTCTATCTGAGCCTGGGACCGGTGTATTTCTGCTTGGAGCTGCTCACGTGTCTGTGGGATATGAGAGAAAAATGAAATAACCCAAAAAATCTATAAAGAATAATTTAAAAATACATTTTTAAAAAATCAAACTTTCTCCAAAAGACCAAACCTAACGCAGTTACAGAAAATATTTAAACCACCAAATACTTTTAACAAATGATTTTGAAACTTCTTTGGCAGAAGAAATTTGCAGCTGAGCACAGAATATCAAATAATCAAATGCAATCAAATCAAGTCTGGGAGATAGGATTACTGATTTTGAGATTTAAGTCAAGATTAACAAAATGGCACAGCAGAGCTGGCCCCTCACAGCTGCTCTTGGCAGGCTGCAGCCAGAACCTCCCTTTCTCCAGGAAAACTGATGAAAATTATTATGGCACAATTCTGGGCACAGCTGGTTCCCTTAAATTTGGGACATATTGAACACTCAGAGCAGAGCCCACCTTGCAAACTGGCAAATTTCCTTGACCTTTGTGCCTTTGGTGCCTTATCTGTGACTTGGACCCTTATCTATGATTTAGTGCCATATCCATTTCATACCCATCTCAGTTTTTACTGCATTTGTAGCTTCCTGCTGATTTAAATAGGCACCACATTCCTACACATGTTTTCTGGAGAACAAATGTAGTTATTGTCAGTTGTTGTATTTGTTACACACTTTCATAGCACGTTTTCTTTCCTCCAGCCATTTCTCTGCTCTTTATCTCGTTATTTACACTGAAAGTGATTTTGTTTACATGACCTACTCTGGTGCCTCCTTTGGCCCACTATGAAAAGACTAAAATCCAGTCACTGTCACAGCTGGGCGGGCCTTGGCTCGCTGGGATTTCCCTTCCAGGTGCAATCCCTGATGTTTCAGAGATGCTCATTGTGGGAACACTGCTGGGAATGTCATTTTCAAGCATTAGACCTTGACCCGCTCCCAGTGTTCCTGGATAACCCCTTCACAGAACAGGTGTAGGAACAAATCAGGGCTCTGCAGGCACATTTCTCCTGTTAAACAGCGAATCTGTCCCTTTCCTGACTGCACCCACCCTTGCAGCTGGGCATGACCCATCCTGCCAGCCCTTCAGGGCGTCAGGGAATGCTTTGGGTGGGAAAGGACCCCAAATCCCACCCAGTGCCACCCCTGCCATGGCAGGGACACCTTCCCCTGTCCCAGCTGCTCCAGCCCCAGTGTCCAGCCTGGCCTTGGGCACTCCAGGGATCCAGGGGCAGCCCCAGCTGCTCTGGGCACCCTGTGCCAGGGCTGCCCACCCTGCCAGGGAACAATTCCTCTGTAACTCCTGGGCACACACAACAAGCTCCTAAGAAAAGCAGCACTTCAGGCCAGCTGCCACAGGAACTCTGAGGCAGACAGGCAGAATAGCACAGGGCACTTTGCAATTTAATTAACAGAAAAATCTCAGCTATAAGCCTTCTAAACATTTTATGAGGAATCATGTAATCTCTCAGAGTCCAGAAGGAATTAAAGACCACGCATTATATATTTAAGGCTATCTGTCCCAGTTCTTTATAGCAAAAGAGCTTACTTTCAAGGATTTCCCATAAAAACTTCTCCCTGGATTTCCCTTGAGCAGCTCAGAGGTGAAAAGCCCGAGCTGCAGCCGTGGTGGATTCTCAGCAGCCCCTTCCCAAGGCTGGCAGCAGTCGGAGCTCCAGGAGAGCTGGAGAACAACCTGAGCCCGGCCACGGGGTCCCAGCCACCCTGCCAGCCCCAACGCCCCCTTTCCATGCCATGCAAGCCCTGCAGACCTTGACTTCTCGCTCTGCATCCAGGGTGCCCCCGACCTGCTCCTGCAGCAGGGCGTAGGCGCGCTGCAGCGCCTGGTACTCCATCGTCAGCTGCCGGAACCGCAGCTCCGTCTCCTCCTTGGCCATGCCCTGCAAGCACGAAACAACAGGGGACTGGCTGTGCTTCCTCTCTAAAGTGCCAGAATTGTCACTTTTGAAATGCAATTTGGAAGCATGGTACAAAAAATCTCGGTTAAGTGCCCTGAAGCTGCGTCCCCTCCGTCCCCTACACATCTCTTGCACGCTCTTACCTCCAGGAAATGCAACACAGAAATAAAAAGATAATCCCTGCCTTGGAAAGATAAAAGCTTACCTTCCATATAGCACAGTAATGACTGCACCACCCTTTCTTACTGGAACAGGGAAAATCATCACATTAAAGGTGAAAATGCAGCTTTCTTTAACAACAAAAGGTTTCAATTTGGAAAGGAAACCAAGCCTGACAGCCCCACTCAATTATTAAAACACGAATCCAGAGGTAATAGTTGTAGAAGTGGTGACAGCAACATGAAAGGAGCCCTTCATCTTCTTCACCCTCCTTACAATATCCAGGATGGAATGCTTTCATGTCAGGCTGACCGGAATATTTCACTCAACATGAAATGGAATTACATTGCTGGGTGCATGCATCAACTTCCCACTGGCTGAACAGGGGGAAGAATGTCAATAGAGGAATGAAAATAAACAGGCTTTGCATACACAAATACAGTCAGATTTCCTGCACTGCAGCCTGGTAACCATCAGGAATCTTTCATGATGGAGTGAGGAATTCTGCAGGTTCCCTTTCAGCAGTCAGCACACCACGAAAAGTCTGCACATCATCAGGGGCAATTCTTGTTTATTACAAGATTCTTGTTAACCCAGAGCTGTGTAATGGGCCAGTGATCTGACACACACTGGGGAGCGCACTTGTGGGGAAGCCCTGGCAAATCCAAGGAATAATCCCTTTGATTTGTATTACATTTTTCTGCTCTCAGAGCCTCGGGAGCCCAGCCAGGAACCAGCCTTTCCCTGGAGCCAGAGCCTCAGGGGAGCATTCATTCCCTCTCCCCCTCCAACACAGACCTTGCTGCTCGGTGCTGAGCTCGGCTGGCCCAAACTGCACCTGCCAAAATCTGCAGCCAGGCTCACAGTGAACACACCTCCTCAGGCCTGTCCTATTTCTCAGTTTTTAGACCTGCAAACCTGCCATAAATTCAATATTCTTAGGATATGAGATTTCCAGCTTGGCTGGAAGTGGTGGAGTTACTGAAGACCTGAGATTTAGAGATACTGACCACCATGCACAGTACCAAATTTAACAGAAGTGTTCATTTTGTGGTCTGAGGTGACAGAATGACAGAACAGATATGAGAGAGCAGCAATGACAGATAGAAGTGATGGAACAGAGCAGGGAGTTCATTAAAACCAGCACCAAAGTCAGGGTAATCCAAAGCAGAGGGGTTTTTGAGGAGTACCTCTTCCAGGTCGTCCTCGGGCGTGCAGGGTGTCTGGTCGGTCCGGTCGGTTTGGTAGGAGATGGAGGAACCATCAGACTCCAGGGAAGCCTCCTCGTCGTAGCCATAGAACGTCTCCACCACCGGCTTCTGACAGAGAGCAGGGTCAGGGACTGGCCCTGGCAGCTGGACAGACTGCCCTGCACCTGGACAGACTGCCCTGCACACGGACAGACTGCCCTGGGACCTGGACAGACTGCTCTGCACCTGGACAGACTGCCCTGCTCCTGGACAGACTGCTCTGCACCTGGACAGACTGCCCTGCTCCTGGACAGACTGCCCTGCACACAGACAGACTGCCCTGCACCTGGACAGACTGCTCTGCACCTGGACAGACTGCCCTGCACATGGACAGACTGCCCTGCACATGGACAGACTGCTCTGCACCTGGACACAGTGCCCTGCTCCTGGACAGACTGCCCTGCACACAGACACACTGCCCTGCACATGGACAGACTGCCCTGCACATGGACACACTGCCCTGCTCCTGGACAGACTGCCCTGCACATGGACAGACTGC